TGTGGGTGTGGCCTCTGTGTGGGGTTTTGTGCGCGGGGCAGGGGGGGGGCGCGCGCGCGCGCACACACACACACACACAGATCCGACCCTAGGTTTGTGGTCTGGGCACCTGCGGCCCTGCCATGGCCAGCTCTCTAGCAGCGTGTCTGCCTTGGATCGTGGAGTGACCGGTGTGTCCCAAACCACTGCAGCAGCTGGGGTGAGAACAGGACATTCCGGATCCCTGCTGGGGGCAAGATTCTTGTAGCCAGCCCACTATTCCACAGCAGTGTGAGCGGCACACATTCCTACCCTCCCCACACTCCTACCCTCCCCACACTCCTACCCTCCCCACACTCCTACCCTCCCCACACTCCTCCTACCCTCTCCACACTCCTCCTACCCTCTCCACACTCCTACCCTCCCCACACTCCTCCTACCCTCTCCACACTCCTCCTACCCTCTCCACACTCCTACCCTCCCCACACTCCTACCCTCCCCTTGGACAGCTGGTGTCCCTGACACTCCCAGGTCCTGCCCTTGGCTCTGAAGGTGAGAGAATGCGTTGATAAGTGTTCTTTCCTCTTCTGTCTTTTAGAAAAAATTGTGAAATTGGTATTATTTCTTTTTTTAGATTTTTTATCATGGTAAAATATATATAACATAAAATGTACCATTTTAGCCATTTTTAAGTGTACAGTTCAGTGACGTTAAGTACATTCACATTGTTGCGTGACCATCACCACCATCCATCTCCAGAACTTTTCTCATTTTCCCAAACTAAAAACCTGTATCCATTAAAGTTATTATTTATTCTCTAAAAGTTTGGTAGAATTTACCAGGGAAGCTACCTGGTCCTGGTAGCTTGTAGAAAGTTTTGGGTTTCTTTATATTACTAATTCAATCTCTTTACTTGTTGTAGGTCTATTCAAAGTTTCTGCTTCTTCTTGAGTCTATTTCCTTAGTTTTATGTCCTTCTAGGAATTCGTACATTTCATACAATTTATCCAATTTGTCAGCATATAATTGTTCATAGTACTCCCTGATAATTCTTATTTCTATAAGGCCTCTGGCAATGTCCTCTCTTTCATCTCTGATTTTAGTAGTTTGAGTCTTCTCTTTTTTGATTGGTCATTCTAGTTAAAGGCTTGTCTATGTTGTTAATCTTTTTAAAGAACCAACTTCTGGTTTCATTGATTTTTCTCTATTGTTTTTCTAATCTCTATTTCCCTAATGTCCCCTCTAATCTTTATTATTTCCTTCCTTCTGCTTGCTTAGGATTTAGTTTGCTCTTCTTTTTCCAGCATCTTAAGGTAACAGGTTAGGTTGTTTATTTGAAATCTTTTCTTCTTTTTTAATGTAACATGTACAGATATCAATTTTCCTCTAAACACTGCTTTAGCTGCATCCCACAAATTTTGGCGCAATGTCGTTTTAACTCATCTCAAAGGATGTTCTAATTTCCCTTACGATTGCCTCTTTCACTCATTGGTTATTTATTAGTGTGTTAATTTCCACATATTTGTGAATTTCACAGATTTCTGTTAATTTCTAATTCTACTTCATTATGATCAGGGAACAAATTTTGTACAATTTCAATCATTTAAAATCTACCGAAGGTTGTTTTATGGCCTAACATATGGCCTATTCTGGAAAAAGTCCCATGTGTGCTTGAGAAGAATGTTTATTCTGCTGTTGTTGGGTGCAGTGTTCTATAGATGTCTGTTAGGTCTAGTTTGTGTATAGTGTTGTTCATGTCATATTTTATTGATCTTCTGCCTGGTTTTCCTATACCTTATTGAAAATGGAGTATTGAAGTCTCTAACAATTCTTGTTGTATTGTAAGTATTTCCTCTCAATTTTTCAGCTTTTGTTTCACATATTTTGGGACTCTGTTGTTAGGTGCATACATACCTATAATTGTTATAACTTCTTGACAGACTAACCTTTTTATAATTACTAAATGTCCCTCTTATTGCAAATGACATTTTTTGTTTTAAAGCCTATTTTTTCTGGGCTTTTTTGTTTGTTTGTTTTTGTTTTGTTTGAGACAGAGTCTCCCTTTGCCAGCCCAGCTAGAGTGCAGTGGTGTCATCATAGCTCACAGCAACCTCAAACTCCTGGGCTCAGTAATCCTCCTGCCTCAGCCTCCCAAGTAGCTGGGACTACAGGCGCACACCAGTATGCCTGGCTAATTTTTTCTATGTTTAGTAAAGATGGGATTTCACTCTTGCTCAAGCTGGTCTCGAACCCCTGAGCTTAAGCAATCCTCCCGCCCCGGCCTCTCAGAGTGCTAGGATTAGTGAACCATCGCACCCAGCCTATTTTTTTCTGATGTTATTATAGCCATTCTACCTTTTTTATGATTGCTATTTGCATGGCATATCTTTTTTCATTTTTTTACTTTCAACCTCTTTGTGTCTCTGATTTCCAAGAAGTGAGACTCCTATAGACAGTATATAAGTTGGATCTTATTTTTTACCCAGTCTGACAATCTCTGCCTTTGATTAGATTGTTTAATCAATTCATATTATTATTGATACAGTTATTGATACAGTTGGATTTACATCTGCTATTTTACTTTTTGTCTTACATATGTCTTGTGTATTTTTTGTTCCTCTATTTCTCCTTTTTGCTTTAAATGAATATTTTATTGTTTAATATTTTAATTCCTTTAGTGATTTTTTCACTATATTTGAGTTATGTCCTTAGTGATTGCTCCAGGGCTTACCATATACATCTTAACTTACCAGAACCTACTTTGTATTTATACTAAGAGAATTAAGTTCCTCCAGCTACTCCTATACAACTCTATTCCCTTGTCCCCCTTTTTGTGCTATTATTGTTATACATTAGAGAGCTTCTTATGTGATTCCTTATGGGAGTTTAGATGGGAGACCAAAGCCCAGAGAGAGTCTGGCTTGGTCTTATACTAGCTGTATGACTGCAGGTAAGTCATTTAATATCTTTGAGCCTCAGTGTCCTCACCTGTAAAATGGGGAGGATTGGATGAACATAGCTCCAAGGATAAAGTGAGCTCTTAACCCTGATCCTACACATTATAGGGGCTCTGAAAACAGTGGCCTGTGTTCGGCCCTCAAAGAATCCCAGGAATCCACTTACCCCAGCATGCTTACATCAGAGTCCAGAAGCACGCATGCCCAGTCAAAGCCACGGGGAGCTCCTTCTCCCTAGTGCTTGCCTCTGCAGGGGAGCATCTTACAGTGAACTTCAGCAAAGGCTTGGATGTCGGGCTGGGATGACAAACTGGCCCATCCTCTGAGCCAGCCCCTCCTGATGAAGGTCAGTAGGCTGCAAGAACCACCAGCATGGGCCAGAAATGCCCCCAGGGCATGTTCGTAGCCCCAGCTAAGGCCCTGCATTTGTGCTTCAGCACCTGTCCCTGCCACAGGCTGAATGTGATTGAGGCTTTTGGAGCCAGTGCTAGGAAGGGATGGGAACGGGAAGCAACCACAGCTGAGTGTCCAACCTCTGATTGGTAGATGTCCAGGCCCTCGCCTGGGGAGGGAAACAAAAAGCCCTCCTCCAGCTGGTAGCCCGCCTACACTTACTCTGCAGGTGGCCACCTAAACTCTGCTTGACAGAGGCCTCATTCCCCCGAGACAGCTCAAGGCCTCCCTGCTCATTTCCCCATCAGGTCTCATGTCTGGCGCCACTCACGCGATACATGCATTGGCAACCTTTGTGATCCCAGCCCCATTGCAGAGCTTGAGAACACAGAGAGTGATCAAACAGCAGTCATGGAAACCACACAGGAGCATGTGCAACCCATGCAAAGCAAGGGCCTGGACATGGGCTCTGGGAGAACAGGCAAGGGCAGCCCTCTCAGAACAGGGCCTAGGAATGATCTGGCATCTCCCCACGCTTGCTCCTGCCCCTGTGGTCCATCGAGTGTGTGAAGCTGGATCCCTGCTGCTGTCCAGGGATCAGGCTGGCGACCTCAGGAAGGACTCAGACCTAGGGCAGGGGACACTGGAGAGTGAGCCCTGGACTTGGAAGCCAGACCTAGGTTCTAGCAGGGCTCTGCCGCAGAGTAACTGGGTGACCACAGGCCAGTGCTGAGCCTCAGTCCACACATCTGTAAAAGGAGAAAACTGCATCCCCGTGGGGATGAGATGGAGGGAATTAAGTGGCACTCGAAGGCACTCACTAACAGGGTGCTGTCTGTCCCTGAGCGAGGCGGTGGGTGCCTGTGGCTGCCCCTTGCTGACTCTGACCCCTCCCGAGGACCCCATCCCCTAGAGCCCTGGGAGGACGAAGTCACCGGTTCCCAGGAGCTTCCTTCCATAGGGCTCTCAGGGTCCCAGCTGTTAGCCCTAGAGGAGGTTCTTGCCCCCTCCCCTTGTCTCACACACCACACCACTTCCCGGAAGTCCCCACCCACCTCTCTGTGTCTCTGTCCTGCCTGGATGCCTCCCCCTGCCTTCCCTGAGCTAACCCACCCCTTCTCACGCTCCACGATCCCCTCTGCTTCACCTCCTCTGGGAAACCTTTCCTGATCTGATCCAACCCCCGAGGCCTGCCTGAGGCCAGGAGAGTCGTTCCTCATCCTCTGTCCCCCTGGACATTCCCCACCCCTTCTCAAGACATTGGTAAAGTCAAGTTGACCTTTCAAACTCATGTCTTGGTGGCAAAGACTCCTCTTCTAGCACTGAGAGTCTTGTATTCAAGCCTCTGCCACTAAAACGCTGTGTGACCTCAGACAAGTCCATTGCCCTCTCTGAGTTTTCCTTTTCCTATCTGAGAGTTAGTTGAGCTCCTAGGGCTTCATAGAAGTGGATGGGTGGTCAGGCTCCACTCCCAGAGGCTCCTGCCGGCAGCAGGGCAAGGCGCTGCTCCCTTCATCCCGGCCAGGAGTGGTCAGGATAGAACCCGTGGGCTTGACCCCAGACTGTCCTCCATTTATTCAGGGGTAGAGAACTCACAGGGCAGCAGGGGTGGAGGAGGAAGGTGTGTGGCGGGCTGGGCCCCAGCTCCGTGTCCTCTCTCTCTGTCCACAGTAGCGCGATACAACCGCACCAGCTACTTCTACCCGACATTCTCAGAGAGCTCAGAGCACAGCCACCTGCTCGTGTCTCCTGTGCTGGTGGCAAGTGCCGTCATAGGGGTGGTCATCATCCTCTCCTGCATCACCATCATCGTGGGCAGCATCCGCAGGGACAGGCAGGCCCGGCTCCAGCGGCGGCACCACCGCCACCGCCGCCACCATCACCACCACCACCGCCGCCGGCGGCACCGACACCGAGAGTACGAGCACGGCTATGGTGAGCTGCCACCTGCCCTGGGCCCCTGGGACTCCCGTCCAGTTATGATTGCAACCTAGGAGGCATCGAGGAGCTGGCAGCTCTGCCATGGGTGGGGCGAGGTGGTCAGGGAAGGCATTAGAAGTCTTGGGTGATCAGGAAGAGCTCACAGGTGCCACCATAATGTTCTCAGGGGCATGAGAGGCCCTGTTTTCTGCCAAGAGTGAGGCCAAAGGTCAGAGGGAGGGTGTCACTCCTCCCCGACCCCTGCCTTGCTGGTCCAGCAGGTGCCTGGATGGAGGGAAGGACGGAGGGATGGAGGGATGCAGGGATGGAGGGATGGGTGGGATGGGGGGATGCATGATGGGGGATTGAGTGGAAGAATCAGTGGGAGGATGGAGAGATGGATGGGTGGAGGGGACGAGTGGATAAATGGGTAGACGGAAGGACGGATGAATGGAGAAGTAGAGGAATAGGGGAAGAGGGGGATGGATAGATGGGTGGATTGAGTGGGTGGATAGAGGTATGGGTGGGTGGAGGGATGCAAAGATGGAGAGAGGAGGGTAGGGGGATGGCTGGGAGGGTGGGTATATGAATACGTGGACAGACGAATGAATGGAATGAATGACGAGTGAAGCAAAGCTGTCCCCAGAGAGCCTGCAGAGTGCAAGCAGAACTGATTCCAGGGTCTCCTGATTATTAGAACCACCCTTACACAGAGTTGCTGGCTAATTCTTGGGTCGCCAGTCCCAGAAGTGTCCCTCTGGCCAAAACGCCTGAACTTTTTACAGAATGCAGCCACCTGATTCTGTCTCATTCCTGGAAGGGCCAGTGGTCTAAAAGCAGCAGGAAGGAACTCACTTGCATTCAATTTTCAGACAATTTTCAATGGCAGGAAAAAGCCAGGTCCTCCCACCCCCCTCAACCACCCAGCCCACCCCCATCCCTGCTCATCTGCAGCCACCCGCCAGGCAGGGAGGCCCCTTCACACTGCGGATGAAGTGACTCCTGGGATCCAGAGCCACGGCAGGACCTGAGGGGCTGTCCCGCTCCAGGGCAGGAAGAGTTTGGGAAAAAGAAAGAAAGGAAACATGTTAAAAATAGATCCAACTGGAGCCCATCAGCCCTCCTCCCCTCCCCCAACACATCCTGATTAACCAGCCGGCTTGGGGCATTTCCTCTCCCCTTTTCACAGAGGGAACTGGTTAAGGAAGGAATCAAGGGGTACGTGAAGCAGGGAACAGAGGCCCGGTAGTGATGGCCAATGTGTGAGGGGCACTTTCTGTGCATCATCTCTTCGTGCGAAGTCCTTCTTGTGGTCCTAGGGAGTGGCTACTTCTTATCGCCATTTCTGCTTACAGCTCAGAAGCTGAGGTTGGAGTGGTTAAGTGACAGGCCTGGGGCCGCCCAGCCAGCAAGTGGTGGGTGCCAGACGTGAGTCCCGGAGCCTGAGGCAGTCCACAGGCTGCCCCCTGCATAGCCCCGAGGTCGCAGGTGTGAGGGAGACACCTGTGGAGCCACCCCAGGGGCTCAGGGCAGTGTGCAGCAGACACACCCACGGCCAGGGTGGACGCTGCTCCGACCTCGTGCTGTCCCTCTGGGAAGGCAGGTAGGAGAACCAGGAGAGCAGGAGGCTGGACAAGACACAGAGGGACATTACGGGGACAAGTCAGGGGGCAAGTGGCCACTGTGGAAGAAAGACACAGCAGGTTAGTGGCCTGGCCAACGATGAGGACTGAAGAGAAAGGTCAGCAGTAATAACACAGATGTGGAAACTCAGCCAGGCCAGTGCCCATGTCTCCCCGGAAGCCGAGGACTCTGCAGGCAGACAGGCCACGTGACTTCACCTCTCAGTTTCCCCATCTGGGAGAGGGGAGGTCATGGGGGCAGAGCACAGTAGGTGCTCTGGCTGCAAGTTCCTCTTCTGCCCTCACCCAGAGCCTCTCGAAGGACTACCTTGGATTGGGCCTAAACAATGAACCAAGATATTTCTTAACTTTGGTAAGGAGAAGGCTAGAGGGATTTCACCTTCCATGAGGTAGAAAGCAGGGCTTCCAGAGTCCTCGGCCTTGTGGGTCTGTACTGACATGGAAATCAGGAGAGAAGGGAAAAGAAGGAATTTGGGGAGTTCAAATGGGGGAGAGGGGGCTGCTTTCCTTGTAGCTGTCCCTCAGGATCCCTGCCTAGCTGGACGTCTGGGGCTGAACTTGGTCATTCATCTCAGACTTGGGGGCCGAGCAACACCTCAGGGCAGCCTCAGTTTCCCTGAGATGCTCGGCCTCTGGGAGGCCCAAGAAAAGGCAGCCCAAGAGGAGACAGTAAACGCAGTTTGGTGCAGCCCTATCAGCCCTCAGGGACAACACCACGGCCACCCCACTCCAGTCCAGGAAACATCCCTCGGTTTCCCCAGGAATCCCGTGTGCCCGCCACAACCTCTTGCCCTGCAGGTGGAACGCTTCCCTGAGCCCAAAGACCCTTCCCTGGCAATGCTGGCCGGGACAGGACTCCGTCCCAGAGCCCAGCGGCCCTGGTTCAACTTCTGGCCTCACCATGTTGTTTTGTGCCTACATCTTTCTTTAGTTCCTTCCCAAAGTCCTTCCAAAAATTCTATCTTTCAGCTGAAGCCCTGTAGGGAAACAAATATCATTTCAGCTCCCTTTTTTACAGCATATGTTATTGGGTTCATTTTTCCTAGTGGAAAAGTAATATGTGCTCACTGTAGAAAACCTGAAAAATCCAGACGATATGAAGAAGAAAATAAAGGTCATGACCCTGTCATCTGGATAGAGCCACCGTTAACATGTTTGTAATATTTTCATCTGAGAGCTTTCTCAGTGTCCACATTATACCTACAGTTTCATATCTTAGAGTTTTCCATCCACTTTGTATCAAGAGTGGGAAAAAGAGATTAGAGAAGTGGGAAAGCAGCCTTTAGGGTTATACAAACTGCATGGATTCCAGCTCCATGTTTTGCCAGGCTTGTAACCCCGAGCCTCAGTTTCCCAGTCTGTAGAATGGGAAGGGCCACCCAGAGCAAGGAGAGGTCAGAGCCCCGCCCCTGATGCCAAGCCCCACCCCCAGAGGGGAGGAGCCACTTGGGAGCCCTGGGGCTTGGGAGACCTCATGCCCCAGCCATCTTTGAAGGTCCCACTGTTCCCAGCTGCGACTAGACCTATCAGAAACTGGAAGGTGGAGAGCTTAGACAGTGAGGAGCCAAGACATCCCCTGCCCTCTGGCCCTGCTACTCACTGTGTGTCCTCAAGCAAGTCACTGGGCCTCCGTGAACCTCAGCTGTAGAATGAGTGGATTGTGCCCCAGTGGCATTTCCTAAGCTGTGTTACTAGGTCTAAGAAAGTAAGATTCTGTGGTCAAATGCTGGACAAGCACAGTTAAATGTGTTTCTTAGATGCAGGACTTTTCAGAGCCTTTGATCAGCTAATGCGTGGTTAAAAGCCCCAGAGGAAAATGCAGTATGTGAACTAAAGGGAATAGTGTGTGGTTGGGGTAGGGGGCTGATCCCAGAGCTCTCTGCAGCCCTCATTCCTTCCACTCCCCTGCCCATTTTTCATGCCCCAGCCTGACTCCCCAGTTCAGAGCTCCCTGTTCGCACCACACTCTTCTCATCTCCCTCCTTGGCTCAAGTTGATCAGTTGCCTCCTCCTGGCCTTCCCTCTTCCCCTGGCTAATTCTAAGACTCAGCTCTAGCAGCACTTCCTCCAGGAAGCCCTCCCTGACCTCCAGGCTGGTCATGTCTGTCCCTGCTCCTACAGCCCCAGAGCTACCTCTGTCAAAGCTCACAACACACTACCCAGTACCAGGCTGTTCCCAGGACAGGGTGCCACTGCCCTGGGAGTCCCACCCAGACAGAGCCAGCTCTGTTTCCTCTCTGCGACCTCATGCCCAACCTTGCAATGGTGTGCACGTTCTGGGCTGCCTCTGCGGGATAGAGGCAGCTGTGCCTGGTAAGGGGAGATAGGAGCCTCAGTGGTCTCAGGTAGACTCGTAAGGGCCACGCCTGGGTACTGGCCTGAGGCCCAGGCTGATGGTCTGTTCCCTGCAGTGTCTGACGGACACACATACAGCCACTCAAGCCGCAGGATGCGCTATGCCTGCAGCACCACGGAGGACTGGCCCCCACCCTTGGACATCAGCTCTGACGGGGACATGGATGCCACGGTGCTCCGGGAGCTGTACCCAGATTCTCCTCCAGGGTAAGGAGGCCACGTGGGCAAAGTGGCATGAGAGGTGGGGCCCTGGACATGAGGACACCCCTACCATGGAAAATGGGGGTGCCTCTCCACATGGGGTAAATGAATGCAGGAGCCATCTGCGTGGTGGCCGTGGCCATCTCCTCACCCCTCCTGACCAAGCAGGTCCCCTGACGCGGTCCGTGACTCAGCAGATGTCACCAGGGAGTGCTAGGAAAGGAAGAGACAAGCTCAGCTCCTTCAGGCCGTGAGCAGGCCTGCCAGGAATGCCCCTGCAGCTTCGGGGGTTCCATGGCGGCTGTCCTGAGCCCCCTGGGGGTCTGTTCCTCCAGGCGTCTCCCTAGGAGGTTGGCCAGGGTGGTGTGAGGTTATTTCAGTGTCCATGGGATCAACTCCCCGCTAGGGAAAAAATTCGTTTTGCTTCTATAAGTAACACCAGGGACCAGGGTGCCAAAGAGCGTGTGAACGCACATGTTTGCATCTCATGGCCCCAGGTTGACTCGCTCTGGAAATTCTTCCTTGTGTGATCTTAAGCAAGTTATTTAGTCTCTCTGTACCTGCTCCCCATTGTTATGGAGAAACGGCCATAGTACTAACACCTGCCCCATAGGACAGTGATGAAAATGACATGAAATCGTGCAGGTGAAACGCTCGGCAGAGCACCCAGCACGTGGCACTTGACACATGCTGACTTTGCCCACCACCATCGTTATTACTGCCCCAAGGTCATGGGTGGCAAGGTACCGGTGCTGAGAGGATGAGAGGATGCGACCCTGGAGGACAGGCTGACATGGGAAACCTGCCTTTGTCGAGGGCGCTCAGTGGCTCCCACCTGTGCGCGGAGGGGCCGGCCGGGCCCCCGAGGCCCTGGGAAGGGCAGTGCCATCGGCCCTCTCTGGGCAGTGGGGGCATCTTTGCTCTGCATCATGGTTCAGAGGGACCCATGGACTCTTTCCTAAACCTGGAAGGGCAGCTTTGGAGTGACTTGAGGCCAAGGGGTGTCTGGCAGCCTGAGATCACTCCTGCCCAGCCCAACCCACACACAGGACCCAGCAGGGGACATGATCCACATCCAAAGCAGATTGTCCCTGAAGAGAGGCCCCTGAACCTTAGGGAGAGACCCCCACGCCCAGCCTTAAGGCCCAGGCTCCACAGGGCACTGAGAAAGCCTCTTATCTCGCAGCTACGAGGAGTGCACAGGGCCAGGGGCCACGCAGCTATACGTCCCCACGGACGCACCCCCGCCCTACTCGCTGACGGACTCCTGCTCCACGCTGGGTGGCACCCTGGACTCGGGCAGCGGCCACGGCCCTCGCCAACACCAGCAGGAGCAGAGGACCCCGGGCCACAGTGGTGTCCGCACCATCTCCATGGACACCCTTCCCCCATACGAGGCCGTGTGTGGGGCCGGCCCCCCATCGGGCCTGCTGCCACTGCCGGGACCAGGACCAGGGGCAAGGGGCTCACAGGACTCGCCCACCCTAACCCGGGCCCCCGCCTCTGGCCCAGAGAGGATCATGTGAGTGACCCAGCTGGCCAGGGCCTGCAGGTCCCTCCAGGCTGAGCCACATCCTACAGGCACAAACACAGACACACACACACACACACACACATGAGACTTGTATACACAGAGACATATACACTGACATACCCCATGTGCACACACAGAGCTAGACATGTCTCACCTGTGTGTAGACATGTGCACACACAGGCCCACCACACTCACACAAAACCCACCTGCGACTTCCCACCTCCTCCTCCCAGCCTGTTGGTTGTGCCTCTGTAGACAGCGCTGGGGGAAGACGGGCGAAGCAAGAACGGGGCTCTCTCTGCCCTCTCCCTGGGCCTGTTTGCCCCTGCCCTCACCCGGCAGTCCGTGCCCAAATTCTGATTCTGCCTCCAGAAACTACTCGACCATCCCAGGTCAGCTGCCTGCCCCAACCCCGACCCCAGGGCCGGCTTGTCCTCCTGGGAAGTGGGACAGGCCCCAGTGAGAGGCCCCTGTGTGCTGTGCCTATCTCTCAATTCAAGGGCAGAAGAGCCACAACATCACCACCCTGCCACTTACAGGGTTGGGGACACAGGTCTGGGGGCTCAGGTATAACCTGGAGGCCCTCACGGCCCACCAGGCCCCCTCCCTAACCCAGCACCCTCAGTCTGGTGGTGCTAGCGGGGTTATCTCAGAAGCTGCAGGGGAGGAACAGGGCCCTTGCAGGTGGGTGGCTGGGGTCTTGGGTTATAGCTGCTCCCTTGTCAGTCCAACCACTGCCCAGGACGGAGGGTCCTCAAGGAAGATGAGGCCATTGCCCTTCCCCGGGTGGCCTCCCCGCAATGCTGCCTGGACACCGTGCCAAGGCAGAGAAGTGGCCCCTCCCTCAGCCTCTGCCCAGCCGACCACTGTGGCCTGAGCTCGAATGGATGGAGCCAAACCCCAGAGCCGGTGCTGTCCTCCTGGGTGGCAGCTCTTAGCTGGGAATGGTGAGTCGACGTGTTCTGGCCTTGCCCCTCCAGGGTGTCCGCAGAGACAAAACAAAGGGGATGTGAGCCCCGTAGATACCACCACGCCACCACGAGGGGACCCGTGGTCGTGTCTTGGTCTCACTGCCAGGGTCCCACCACAGAAGGGGCTTGGTGGGGTCAGCCTGGTTGTGGAAAGGCTCAGATCTTGGCCCAGGAACCCCAACGATTTCCAACAAAGACCACGCAGGTAACGGAGGTGATTCCTGAAGACCCAGCCTGCCAAGGTTGGCAGCCACGATTCAGTGAGGAGTGTCCCTGCTAGCGTCGCCAGCAGCCATCACCCTGCCCTTAAACAACAGCACCCATCATCCATCCTCTTCCCCGCGTTTCAATTCCTCCAACGAAGGGCTAAGACGATTCAGTAATCCCTTTCTTAAACAGAGGGGTGGCAAGGATGAATTTTATTTTCTGTAGAAATAGCATTTCTTCTGGTACGGAGCTGGAAGGAAGCCACCCAGAGGTTCTGTAGCATCCTGTGTGCCGTGTCCTGGAGCCCCAGACACCTGGGGGAGGGACCGTGTTTACAAGCAGTTCTATACAGTTACGCCTTTGCGGTGTACTGTTTTCTAGGCAAAAAATATCTGTCCATTGTACTGTATAGCCTTTTAAATGCACTCCAGGGATGAGACTCTTTTAAAAGCTGCATCCTGCTTCTGCAATTTCTAGAGCGTGCTGTGGGGGAAAATAAAAAGATAAAATTCCCCTACCTACTCATCAGTGTTTGAGGGATGGAGCTGAACAGCTTTTCTTGTTCCTGGACGAGGCACTGAATAAGCAACAATGTATCTTTTCTGTGTTCAAAATAAATTATGTCATATCAATAAAAATGTAGCAAGAAGTAACACTTGCAAAAAGTGCATGGGGGTTCCCACCTTCCGCAACTTGTAAGGAAAGGAAACAGCAAAATGCAACAAACTGAAAACATGCCTCCAGCTAGCAAGCCCTGCCCTTTACTGCTCAAGATTAGGCATTTTGCTGAAGCCTTGTCATTTTGTCATTTTCCTGTTGATATGGATATTTGGGTAGTCAGTGACTTACAGGAGGTGTTTTTTTTTTTAAATCTCACTGAAACATGGCATCATTTCTGAGACTTGGCTGGTGTAAATGTCACTGGGATGAGCCATCAACTTCAGGACCTGACTCTAGGAACACGAGGGACTACACGTTTTACTTGAACAGCAGTTGGCTTCCAGCACCCTGATGGTTTGTACTACCAGGCTCTGCACAAATTTTCTTCTTCCTTTCTGTGTCCTCCATAAGACCATGGCTTTGGTTGTCCATCTCTTGGCAGAGCCTGGTTCCCCGTCTCTGTCTCACCCTCCCACTAGAACCCAAGCAGAGTCCGCTGGCATAGCCCTAGACCCCCAAGTGATCTGAAAGTGGGGTGTGACCCTGAAGGAGGGTGCAAGTGGAGGGGAAGGTCACTGTGAGGAAGGGAAGCACTGGCTGCTCCTTCCACGTCCCAGCGGGCCCCCACCCCCACTCCGAGCCCACACTGCCACCTGCCGGCTCCCTGGTGCCACTGTTCAAAGCCAGTGAGTCAGTTCCAATGAGGAACCCCCACTTCTCCCACTTTGAAACCCACTGCCCATGGACACTCATAGTTGTAGACAAAACTTGTCATGTTGATCCGGGGCTTGCCTTCCTCCCTTGGGATGTTCCATGAGGTTAAAGCCCATTTTTAGGACAAGCTCCTGTCCCCCAACATCTCCCTCTGGACACATCCTGATACCTGTGACCCTCTCTCTGTCTGCAAAATAATCCCTCCTTTGTTCTTGTAACCACCACCAGGTGTGGCTCGGGTGCCACCTCCGTGCCCTGGGGCCCCTCCTCCCTGGAGTGAATATAGAAACCTTCTCAGTGATGGTGTCAAGCCCCACGCTGACCCCAACCTGAACCAGCCCCCATCGACACCTGCTCCAACAGCAAAGACTCAGAATCCCACAGCCCGTGGGACTGTCGGGCTCTTGGCTTTTCCTGTCTCCTCCATCGACAGCGTGCCCTGTGCCGGGGTATGTCCACACATGGTAGACATTCAAGGTCCTTTGCACGTTCCCGCAAGGACACCGGCCTCCTTCCTGTGCTGGGGCCTGAGGGGTAGGGGCTGAGGAGAACACCCCAGGTACCTGGGCTCAGGAGTGAAGCCACATCACCGCATCATCGGGACATTGGGAATCGGGGGCGACGCGTTGGAGAGGGAGGTGATCCAGGAGCCCCAGAGGGAATGGGGCAGGGAAACAAGGAAGGGCAGGGAGCCAGTGAGGGTGTCATCAAGCAGGTCACCACTGTGGGCCACCGTGCTCAGGCAGGGGCAGGGTAGACATCAGCCCACCTGCAGGGTGAGGGAGGGGGACCATGTATACACCCACTCTCAGCAGTGTCTGCTGGGAGGCTGCCCTTTGGAGGATGTTCATTCCTGCCCCCTGTGCAGGCCAAGCAGGCTCCTCTGGGCAAAGATAGTCTTCAGGCAGGCGAGTTGCAGATGCTGGCAGATGAAGCATCACCATGGCCAGCATGGCTGCCACTGGGTCAGCATGCACAGGTGTGGCAAGGTCCCAGGTCTCCGGACAGGGCACCAACAGCATCTGCCACATGTGAGCAGCAGGCGTCAACCCAAAGGGGGAGGAAGGAGGGTTGATACAAAGGATGGAACATCCGTTGTCACACCGGCCAAGCCCACACATACACACACACAGGGGTCCCTCACGCCAAGTTCCTCCAGACACCCCCGGACACACACTCATCTGTGCGTGTCCCATCGCCTGTGGGTTTGTGCACAGTGGCTCAGACGGCGTTGGTGCACACACTAGTGCCCCTCTCACTCAGAACTCACACACATGCACAGCTGGTGTTGCACGGTCCAATGCTGCCCACGTTCACGCTCAGGTATTCCCATCCACGCCCGCCTGCATGGCTGACCAGGCTCTGGGCGGGAGCAGCAGAGGGACAGGCAGCTTCATCGTCTGCAGGAGTGAATCTTCTGTCCTGGGCTCTGCTCTGCTCGATGCCACATCACACCTCCCCAGGCCCAGGTGAACTCTCTGGAGCCCAGGATGGATTGCCTAGGTCAGGCCTGGTATCTCTGGGCACATCTTTGACCCCTGGATGACAACACAGCTGTACCTGCCCATCGTGTCTCCAAGAAAGCCAGGCTACAGGTCCTCAGGTCCTGCGGCCCCAGCCTCAAGCCATCCACGATGTGCCCTCCTCACCAGTATGGGGCCTGGGGCCTGGGGCTGCCTGTCTCTGCTCTGCCGCTGGTGGCTGCCTGGTCGACAGCCCACCACAGAGCTGGCAGTATCTGGACTGTAGGGTAGAATAGGGGGACACCACTTGAAGAGGACCCTCCATCCCATAGCAGGCTCTGAGCCTTATCACCCACCCCTGTTACTCAATTGCAAGAGGCAGAAACCCAACGTGAACCTTCTTAAGCAAGGAAGGATACTCACTGGTTCATGTAGCTGAATTGTCCAAGTGATAATCCCAACTTCAGGCACAGCTGCATCCAGGAAGCCTCAGAATATGGGCAGGTACATTGTCCCTCTGGGCTCTGCTGTCTGCCTCGTGGCTTTCATTCTCCCATCAGCACAATGGCTGTGGAAGCCCCAGGTCTACCTTGGTTGGTTCATAATCCAAAACAAAGACAGATCCTCTCTCCCAGAGAGCAAATATCAAATCTCAGAGAGAACGCGATCTCTGAATGGCTGTGGCTGGGACTGGAGTCCTTGATTGTCTGGGCCCGGGTCCTGTGCCTGCTGGGGAGGGTGGGGGAGGGAAGGTGGCCAGTCTCTCCTGGCATGCGTTTTCCAAAGGAAAGAGGGAAGGAGGCTGGGAGGACCGGGCACACGCAAGACAGCAGACCCTGCCATGTTCTCTTGACAGGCCGGGCCCTACCTGCCAGATCACAGTCAGGCCATGGGTAGGCAGTGACCCCAGGGGGGATGAGGGCAGGAGCTGGGGCAGGGGAAGGCAGGGGGCAGGTTGCTAACCGGGAGCCCCCAGC